ATGATTCTACAGTTCTACTCGGATCATTGAGGAAACGCAGGACTATAGCCCCGAGAAGTTGGTGTGGCGCCGCCTGGTGGGAGGTTTGCATGACGGCACGGCACGGACTCTTCGAATCTTGCTGTGGCACGCGTATACATAACACGCACTCGCTTCGAACCCTGTTGCACTGCCAGCGTTCGCTTTTTGCTTGTCTCACGCTTCAAATGAATGAAAAACTAAACATTTTTTTTCACAGTAGAGTCGCCAACAGTGCCTGCGCTCCAGCGTACACGCTTTGATAAGGTTTGTTATGGTGTCGCGCTGCTTACTTCGAAGATGGGTTTGATGCTCGGCCACGGCGGCCGCACTCCAGCGGGGGTGAACAGAAAGACAATACATTTGCACCACGTTAGAAAAATGCGAGGTGACCATAATTACTCCGCAGCGTGGCTCGCAATCATGTCGTGCTTCTCAAACATATACGACAGCGTACTTGCACAACAGGTTGCGTTGTTCACGGGCGATTTCTTTAAAAAAGTATGATTGTTTCGCCTCCACAATTGGACCTGTATTGGACGCATCGGGGTATTTGCCAGCAGCTTTTTTTTTCTTTTTGTTTCTTGTGGGTGCGTGCTTAAGCTAGTATTGAGTGTCCCACAATATCGCGAACGCACCTGTCCGAGAATTACGCCGCAGCCGTTGCGTTAGATTATCTTCTGTGTAGTTGCTCAGATTTCATCACATTGTTTAGCTTCATCTTTTTGGGAATAACTTCGGCGCTCCGTTTCACTAGAAAAACAAGTTGAGGTTAGTTTTAGAAACTGCAACTCATTTCAGATAGTGTCCACGTGCAACATTCCAGCAACTGTGCTGTCACGCTTCTAAGTACCAGTTTAGATAACCACCTGATAAATAAGTTTTTACCATGATTGAATATTCCACAACAGCAGTGATTTGTATATGAACATGTCGTGCAAGACTAATTGTTGTTTCACAGAGGCAAAGAGCGTCTCACTATCACGTGGGCCAGGAAGCGGCGTGCGCCATTAAAACAGTTCATTTCGACCTTCTGGCGGTTTTTCTTTGTTCAGGAGTGCTATCAGCAGTGTTCCTGCGTGAAGTGAACATGACCATTATTGACGTGATGGTAGATCGAATAAGCTGTTCAAGTAAATTATTGTACGCGACTACGTAATCCTGATGACTCTTGATAAGAAATCTGTAGATGAGGTCCGAGTATACCGACTTCTCAGAATTCCGTAAATTATTCTGTAGTTGTCAGTGTTACTTTTTTTCTCGCTATTATGAGTGATTGTGTAACAAAGACAGACCCATTTAGTCATCTGCATCACACAGCGGAATCTTGTCTAAAGAGCTACATTATTTGCAGAGGCAGACTTAGTTTGCATATGTCACAGGTTCCGCTAATTAGGGAGGTGATCACCGCGCTAATTCCAAGGGCCGAAGTATCGGCCCCCCAAACTGCACCACGAAAGCGTGGACAATCTAGAAGTGGCCCTATCTGGCGCGCCAGCAGACGCCAGCTGTGGCCCAAAGAACGAGTCAGAGCCAAGAGTTGATAAAGAAAACAAAATTATATTCTCAAATATGGCAGATCTAACGATACACAAGTATGCACACTCAACAATAGTTGAATACGACATGTTACCATTCAAACAACGTACTACACAGTACAATCAGCTACACTCGAAACAACGGACACAAACAACAATACCCGCTACAATGCAATCACATGCATCGAACAACCAAGACACTTAAAGATTAAAGAGTGCTAAAACTCATTCAGTCCAAAGTCCTCTGAACAAAGTCTGAATAATACTCTTTCAAGAATCACTTCCTCAAAGTCCAGCACTGTTGTCGATCTGCTGCTCCCGAAGTTTCTCCTCCAGGAAACCTCGCGTCTTCAATTGGCCGCTCTCCAAGCACCAAACTTCTTCGCCGGTAACAGGTCGGTTTCCCACGCGTTGCGATTGCAGGATGCGTCTTTGCTCTCTGGCGTTAGTCTCACACTGTTCTTCGGCTGGCAGCACCAGCCTTCACCCTTCATGTGAAAACCCTCTTCATCACCTGCTTTGTCACTGCCGACAAAAGCTTTCCCCGACACGGCGGAATGACCCTACGCACACTTGCGCAAAACTTCCTTCATCTCCTGCCTACGCAAACTGGCGCAAACTTTTTTCTTCTCCTGATCTCTCTTCTCCACTGCTGGCTTAAGTACCTTTCACGCTAGATTCCAGAAAATTTTAATCGTTTCGTCGGCGCGATGCACAGCCAAGGCTAGGGAAAGGGCGAGACGTTTCGAGAGCCGTCTGCAACACGTCACACCACCCTACATCACCACGCCCCTTTCCTTCAAGATCTTTCCAGGGCTTGCTCGGCGGCTGATGTGAGGAGGTTGGTCGTTGAAACTGCACTTTCGAAGGAGAGAGACGGCGCACCCGGGGAATTTCTGGATGCTTGTTTTCCTCTTTAGCGTTGACCTTGAGGCGCCCCTCCGGCGCCCGGCACAATCACCGCCGCCGAAACTCGGCGGTGCGCTCTCTTTCTGAGCGCTCGTTTGTGACAGTGTGCTAAATTGAAATGCTGCGAGTAAACTGAAAATGTCCTTCTTTCGTTTGTATTACTTCAACAGAAATTTTTAATCGCGTCGAGCATGCCGAGTTGTAACGAAGTCAGACCCAATTAGCACGAATAATTTTTCAACATAGATTTTGTTGAGTACGTGCATGGTGAAGACAACCAATGTGTCACTGTACTGCGCCTTCATTTTCAAAGTGTGTCCATACTTTCTGCTGCTGCTTAACTTTTAACAGCACAAAATACCTTTACATTTTACCTTAAGTAGTCTATTACTACCAATTGAGAAGAAATCACCGCCGTATCGCTAAAGAAAGGGTACATGGCGCGCTCGGAAAGAAGCGACCGTCGGCATGCGTCGGCGGCCGAGTAGGTGAGTGCATGCCGTGACGTCACTTCGCCGCGACTGCAGCGACGCCAGTGTTTGTTTAGGCACTGGTAGACGCTAGAGACACTGGTATACGCTGGTATTTATAGGTACTTCGCTGGGCGCACTGGGAAATTGCTGTACCACAGTGTTAGGGGCGCTAGCTTAACCACTGTGCTGCCGGTACACACTGGGAAGCACTGGAAGCGCGTGGAATTTTCCCTGGCAAGCGCTGGTGGATACTAGAGCACGCCGTTTCTACGAGCGCAGCGTCTAAATTTATGTACTGGGTGCTGTGGTATGTTTCGGTGTCGTTGAATATAAAACGCTTTATTCGACGGCACGGATAAATGCTTCCCTAACAGATACCGACCATACGTAATTTTTGCGGTGCACGTACGTATCGCAGTTATTGCACCTTTTTCGCATGCTCCCACGTATAGACCATATTCGCATCAGCCGTGTATTGCTGTAACGATTCCACGTTGCAGTGTTTATAAGCCTGGAGCTCGACGCGACTCTTAACAGAAACAGGAAATTGTTTATGCCGTGAAGTTGACGAAACGTAAATGAGCTCTCTCGATCGCTTCGCAAGGTTTCCCAGCGGAGGCGAGAGAAAAGGCTGTCGTTAGATTCCGCCGCACCCTGTAAATGTATGTCTGGCCAGGTCCCGGTTCTGCGTAAGCATATATATACGCAGGCTTCCAGACGGCTGCATGTGGCTAAACGCTCTCTACTAGGTCTCGCGTTTCTCGTAAGGGTAATTATGGCTTGTAAATAAATTAAATAGGCAGGGAAAAATTTAATACGTTCTCCAGATGATCCCTACGTCCGTGCACCTTGTACTTACTGCTAGGACACATTGTTACAGCTAGAAACATGTCCACACCCCGCGAGTGATAACACAAGTTGAAAAATACTCTTGTGGCTTAAAACAAAAATTAATTCAATAAACTTTCTTAGTAGGTAGCTAATTAAGGTTGCTACAAAATCTGCTATTGAGTATATTTTGAGTAGGACTGCCTCTGTGTTGAATTCGCGGCCGAATATGTGTGAAAATGAACATTTTTGCAACTTTGTCGCCATCTGTAAACTTTATTTCACAATGTATAGGCCTGAAATTATTTGTTGTCTACAGTGAAACATTATGACAATACGCTATTGTAAACTGTCACATTTCTCCTAATGCTGTCTTTCTATGAAAAAATTCCTAATGTGGACTAGATTCTGCTTGATCGGGGCAACATAAAACATCCACAAAAGCATAAAAGCTCGTAAAGCTTATTAATAAAACGACTAGCACTGTTCTAAAGGTAAAAATTTGTCTTGACCTAATTTGGGAAGAATGGATTTTTCGACAACGTGTTTTACGAGTTATGGTTTCGAGCTTTCCGAAAAAAAAAATCAAACGTGATTTGTGGTACTGAAAAACTTTTTTCGCAAGAAAATGTTTTGGGGAAACACTTTTGACTTCAGGTAGATAGTTCTAATTTTTTTAAGTAAATCGGAGATGTTCGAGCGCCAAGGTTATGACAGTTGGCGTGGAATGACCCCTATCTATCCATTCACGGGTCTGTCCGTCCCTCCGCTTCCATCTGCGTGCTTTGTGTTCACCTTACAAACCAATTCCGCCTTGCACGGCACTGGACATTGTGGCGTAGAGTTTGTTGCACGTGGTGCAGCAGAAATATCTATTCAATGGTCATACACTAGAAAGGCCCTGGATATGCATGCGTAACGCATTCTTGCTTGTGCGTGGCCTTCGCTGAGACGGCTGGTAGAAATCATCGTACAGCATTTCATTATGGCAATTTCTTTAACCGCCGCACTCGGCTCCAAGTACTGAAAGCGCATTTACTTCAAAATAAAAGGAGGCTATTTTAAGCGCACCAACACCTGTTTCAAGATTATCAGAAAGTGACCCGAGCTTTCATTGTAACTTCACTGTTTGTTTTCATTGTCAATTTTTGTTGTTTTCATTGTTCATTGCTTCAACGCATAAGGCATACTGCAGTTGTCTTCAGAGCATCTGTCGTATCTTCCGTATCCGCAGGCACCCGGGGTGAACACACAGAAAGCGAGGGCGGAGTGTACGACATCTCCAACAAGCGTCGCATGGGTCTCACCGAGTACCAGGCTGTCAGGGAAATGCAGGACGGCATCCAGGAACTGATCAAGCTCGAGCAAGCCGCCTAGAGGAAGTGCCACATCTCACCAAGACAACCTGCCCTCTTCCCCTCCCATCCACTACCATCACTAGGACCGCTGCGCGCGTTCCGCAACACTACAGTGGCTCGATTCATGCTGGAACACGACTGCAGGGGCAATAGTGCAGCCGTTGTGCACAGCTGGAGGAGTAGCAGTCATCCTTCTCTTTCTGTCTCACAATTATGATTCGTGCGGATGCGAGTGGCAAGTCCCCGTAGGTCATGCGCGTGCTCAACAGGTCAAGCTGCGAAGCTACCGGTTTCGTGCACTCAGCTATAGAATTCATTCAATGAAGACGAGCTTCGGCAATAAGCACGTTTCGACATAGGGTGAACAGACACATTCTGATGTGCATGGTTTAAGTGGCCCTTCCCGCGCGAGGTACTAACGTGACTTCTGTTGGGTGAAGCAATGTAACAACGAAGTCTGAAGCACAGATGACAGTTGATGCAGTGACACAGCAGTAAATGCCTCATTGCGCTTCCGAAAAAAAGCCTCTTCATTCAGAATTAAGTCCGCACACTCTACAACGAAAACGCTGGAAGAATCAGCGAGTTCGCCGTTATCTAGCAATGCCTGATGGATGTAGTCGCAGAACGTTTTAGCCTTGAGGTGCCTTTTTGTTGAACACTCCTTCGGATTTACCACGACACCCAGGAGGCATACGACGCTGGTGTAGAGACTACATGCTTACTTGAAGGCTACATCATTTGCATACATTATTAGCTTCCAATCACTGTTAAATCTCACCGCATTTTTGGTTTCCTGTGCACATGCACAATTTTAGGTCGCTGCCACTGCTCACAACACTAGATCGAGTGGTCTGGTGCATTTGCCTCAACAAGGGTTGTACTGCGAGGCCAATTATGTCAAATATTCGGCTATTTTTTAGCTGTCACTCTTTTAATTAACTGAGAACAAGATAAAGCCGCATGACGGTCCATGATCTTTACAGTGGAAGAGGGCATTGATTGCTACTCGTTCTAGTGCGAACCCAGACGTTGACGAAATGGTTCAGGTGACTGGGACAAAAAGCGAAGGCTGATCGCTATACTACTACAGCTTACATAAAACGGGGGCCCCGGTGTCTTACTGCTGTGGCGCAAGCCATCTTCCTCTCCTGCGCCGCTTAAAAACTCGTCCCGGCTTCCGTAAGAACCACACCCAGCAACAGAACCAAAGCCAAAGTTTCAGAAAAGACCACCCGTGGTTTTCGGAAGTGATAAAAGCGAAGCGTACTGTAAACTCTGTCACTTTTTTTCTCGTACGTATTTGTGTAGAAGCTCAGTACACCGCTTTTGCAATATACACCCCAACAAACAGAGAAGTGGCTTCAGCGAAATGCCGATTCCTATTTTTCGACGAAAGAAATAGGTTGGCTAGACATCATTGTGCATGTTAGGTCGCGAAAGACTAAGGAGGGACCTCGGTGCTGTTATTCTTGAGGAAGACAACGAGATATGAAGGGTGAGTGGGTGCCGCTAGCATCGTTTATTTTTCACCGCTGGTTTCCTGGTAGCCTGCAAGCTGTAGCCGCCTAATGAGCGATGTTCTAGCCAACAAGCACTTCTATTTGCCCTGTTTTTATCATTTTTATTTTCTTTCGTTACCTCTTCGTAAAGACAGACAGACTCGTTATAGCCTCGACTCTAGTCAGCACATATAGGTATGCTCAATGACATAGACACGCCAGGAACGAAGCGCAGCTACTGGGCAGCGGCTTCCATGCAGTCACGGGTGCCGCTGCGGTTGATAGCACCGCTACTTTTCTTGGCGGCAAGCCCAAAGGAAGGTTTGTCCATCGGATGAACTTCAATAAAGTGTCGACAAAGACAATAGGTGTGATTGTTTTTCTTTTTTGGTTTAAGGTTAGGTTCGAGATTGTTGAAGCACACTTACAAATGAGGTCACATGGAGATATGATTGTACGCCGAGCAGCGATTGTGAAAAACAACGCTAGTTTGGGGAGACATGCTTCGAGACTTCTTATCCTACGAAGAGCCATTGGGCTTTTGCAGAGCCCTCAGCTCAAAAGATGTAAAGCTCAACAAGTTTACATGTATCTATTTGAAAGTATTGACAGCGCAAACAAGGTTAGGAAACAAAAGAGTACAAATAAGGATCTTTGCCTCTCATTGAACTATCCCACTTCCTGATCTTTTGTGCATCATACACTGCTTTTTAATGTATCGAAAGCTCACATAACGGGCCAATGTTGTAGTTCAGGGTCGAGTTTCTCACTGCTTCTGTTCAGCTGCAGCTTTTTGTCTCTTTGTTGTTGTTCTGTTCTCGCGCTATAACTATACTTTTGGCGCAAAGGCGAAGCAATTAACGCGATAGCAACAAATTGGAAGGTCACGCACAGAATGGCAAGCAGATCGAAACATGCCCCACTTTTCTCACGCACAAAGGACGTACGAAACGTACTCACAGTTACAGATAAGCGCAAATTAGCGTCTGAGTTTTTACTTTGCTGTGTCTGAAAAGCGCGCTCTTTTCGCAAATGGAGGCTGTGCAATAATTGCAGTGACCTTTGTGCGCCCGGTAACTACAACAGCATCGTTTTGACGAAACTCAAAGGTAAGCCAAGGTGTACGATTCTCTCCACTGCAAGATAGGGGCGCATGATCAAGCGTACACCGCGTTCATCTCTACGCGGGCAAAAATACGCGTGAAGATGAGAGGAGTCACACGCTCACTGCTCCATTTTGCTGATATTGCTGAAAATGCAATAGTTCTCTCTCCCCCCTCTCCGAGACGCCCGCCAACAGCGGTAAGTGGTTGATATGAGTAGCTTCCCGTTCGAACACGGAAGGGGGTACCTCTCGGTGGCTTGTTAAGAAACAGAAAACATGTCTGTCGGTGGCTCAGTGGTTCCGAAAACAGGCAATAAAGAAAAAAAAAGTTGGTGGCTCAGTGGTCAACGCCTCGCATTCACGATGCAGAGGTTCCACGTTCGATTCCGTGCGCCGGAGTCCTTTTTTTTCTGGAATTTTTTTTTCTTGCGTTTTCAATTATATATAGTAACGTATACGTATACGGTGCATGACATCGACGCCGACGTCCACGCTGATGCCAGCGGTGAAATCTAACCGAAAATGTCCATATAATTGCTATTGCAATAAAACATGCTTGTCCCAGAAAACCAGGCCTTTATTGTACCAACGTCATGCATGTATACCATCGGTGAAAGCTATCTGCTGAACACTTATACAATATTTTTATAATCTTACTGGAGCGAGAACATACGCGTACACGTGTTAAATGCAGCGTAGCACAAAGCCCCGTTAGCCCCTAAGATTTCCTGACTAGACTTATCGACTGCCCCACGTTTGATGGTGAACGAAATGAGAGAAAAAATCACATGCGTATATGGTGCGAGCGCTCGTACTGAACCAATCGCACAGTTATTCGGGCGTTTTACGGTCTTTCTTTCCCTCTTTTTTGGTGTATGCAGGTGACAAAGATGTAAATAAGTAGTTTACTCACGCTACAGTAGTGCGTAGCAGGGAGGAACACAAGCTAGCCAGGTACAACACAGCAAAGGTGGGATTTAGTGCGAAAGCGCGAAGAGAAACACCCAGAGCGTGACTCGGCAGAATGAGTTTTATCGCGGGCAATGTTAACGTTCCATTGGAATCGTGCACCGATTTAGTTGAGAAGAGCGTAGATATTAACAATAAACTGTGGTCCAGTCAATTTATTCGCCGGAAATCGGCTCAAACCACATGAAACGAAGCGCCGCTGCATGTATTTGTATGTGCACCACCGACCGCCTATCCACACTTTCGCGCGAAAGATGCTGCCACCACTAGCCCGATCGCGCCGCGCATAGGCGCGGACACCTAGTGGTCTCCTACCAAACTAGAGCACACGCTGATAGCGAAGCCAGCGTCGATGGATAGATGGATGGATATGGCTGTACCCTTTAGATCGGGCGGTGGCTGGCGCCACCATGCCGTAACACTTAATGAACGAAAAACTATATTTATCTTTTTTTCTTTAAAAAGTGAGTTTGAGGATTCGTACTTTGCAGTGAAGAGTTTAATTTCCACTCATGCCTTCACTTTAGCCACCAATCAAATAACCTCCTTCTAGTTACGTCTACCTGCCTAAAGTCTATTTTGCCCTCCTGGTCCCTAAACCCCAGTGCTTTGAAAAACTCTGCGCCATCATCCTGAACTATAGGGTGAAGCCCTTTACAGAACATTATCAAGTGTTCGGCAGTTTCTTCTTCCTCTCCACACGCACTGCATAAGGTGTCTACCTACCCCTTCGTATTTGGCCCGATATGTCTTGGTTCGCAGTAATCCCGTCCTGGCCTCAAACAGTGGAGAACTACCCCGAGTATAATCATAAATTCTTTCATTGGCAATTTCCTGCTTAACAGTTCGATAGATCCCTAGTGCTGACTTCTTAATCATTCCCATTCTCCCCATGTCAGTCTCCGTTTCCTTCACTTTCTTCTTAACCGATAGTTCTTTTTGGTTAGGCCAACTGCTGTTTTCTAAGTAGTTACCAGTCAATTTCCTGGTTCGCTTCCTCCATTTTGTATCGACATTCTTCATGTACAAGTAGCTGAAAACCTTCGTAGACCAACGCTCCTCCCCCATTTCTCTCAATCGCTTCTCAAATTTTATCTTGCTGCTAGCTTCCCTGCCCTCAAATGATGTCCATCCCATATCACCTTGTACTCCCTGATTTTGTGTATTCCCGTGAGATCCTTAAGCAAGCCTACCTATTCCACGTTGCTTAATTTCTAATCTTGCTTGAACTTCTGATCTCATGCACAAGACCGCATTGCCGAACGTCAGCCCATGAACCATGACCCGTTTTCATATTCCTCTCACAGCATCATACCTATTGTAATTCCACAGTGCCCTATTTTTCATCACTGCTGCATTCCTGTTACCTTTAGTCGTCACATATATTTCGTGTTCCATCAGGTACTCGGTCCCAATGCTTATCCATACGCCCAGATATTTGTATTTATCTGTTATCTCTAGCGTGACCTCCTGTATTCTAAGCTCACTACCTTCGTTGTCATTGAAAATCATGACTGCTGATTTTTTCTTACTGAATCTAAAATCTAACCTATCTCCCTCATTACCGCAGATGTCCATCAATCTCTGCAAATCTTCCTTGTTGTTGGCCATTAGCACTATATCAACTGCGTACATTAATGCTGGTAGTGCCTGATCAATATGTTTTCCTTGTTTGACTAAAGAGAGGTTGAATCCCAGTCCACTTCCCTCTAATTTGGCCTCTAATCCTTGTAGGTACATCATGAATAATAAGGGTGACAAGGGACACCCCTGTCTAAGCCCCCGTTTTACCTCTGCAGGCTTGGATACCTGTTTTTCCCACTTTGTAACTACCTTGTTACCTTTATAGATACCCTTTAAAAGATTAGTGACTACATGTTCCACGCCTAGTGTGTCCAGTATTCCCCACGATTCCTCTTGAACCACGCTATCGTACGCTCCCTTGATATACAAAAATGCTAGCCACAGGGGCCTGTGTTCCTTTTTGCTATTTCGATACACTGCGTCAGTGAGAACAGATTGTCTTCCAACCTCCTGTGTTTCCGAAACCCATTCTTCAGTTCCCCCAGCACCCCCTCATCCTCTATCCATGTTTGCAGTCTTTCCTTTATAATCTGCATCGCCAGCCTGTAGACCACTGATGTCACTGTTACAGGACGGTAGTTGTTTATGTCAGCTCTGTCCCCCTTACCTTTATAGATCATGCTCATCCTGCTAAGTTTCCATCCATCGGGAACTTCACCATCGATTACTATTTTGCTCACTGCCTCTCTCAAAGCCTGCTTAGACTTCGGACCTAATATCTTTATCAGCATAATTGGAATGCCATCAGGGCCTGTTGATGTACTACTGGGAACCCTTTTCTCAGCCCTTTCCCACTCTCGTTGTGAAAATGGAGCCATTGCACCACTTGATTCTTCCTTGTCTATTGTGGTGCATAAAGTACTTCTTTGTTGAAATTTTTCTGTCACCCTTGTTCTTATATATTCAATAGCTTCGTCCCCTTCTAGCCTAGCACCTTAGTTATAAAACTTTGCTCTAGACTCGTCTAATTTATTAGGGAGTATAGATGGTTCCGAAATTTCGCAGCTGCTTTTTTATTTTTTTATGTACTTCTGCCAGCCACTGAGTTCCCTTTCTTCTAATCTTTTCATTGATAAGAAGGGATGCATCCCTTCTACAGCTTAGAAAGGTTTCCCATATTCTTTCAACGTCATCTGTCGGTTCACCTCGCTGCTTAGCATGTCTGTGTTCCCTAGAGGCTTCCTGACGTTTTTCTATGGCTCTCGTAAGTTCCTCATGCCACCAATTTTTTGTGTGTGTCTTCTTTTCTGGGGTGACTTGTCACACGTCTTAGCAAGCTCTAGCTCAAAGAGTCTAATTAGGTTCGGGTATGCCCACACTGTTTTATTATCCTCCGTGATTACTTCCTCAATTTGTTTAGTGGCTATTTCAATTTGCCTTTCTGGATAAAAATTTTCCTGTAGTTGCTTATCTTGTCTCCTTCCCACTTTCACTTCTCTTCCAAAACTTAGCTTGATACGTTTGTGATCACTACGCAGACATCTGGAGCCACCTTCATCTATGTGCATTCCCCTGAGCTTATCATACATCCTATGTGACATCAGTGCATAATCTATCGTCGACTGCAGCCTTCTTACCGCCCATGTTATTTGCCCATCACACTTCTCGGTACTGTTGCAAATTATCAAATCAAGCCTTTCACACATATCCATGATCATTTTGCCTGTCGGGTTGGTATACCTATCTATATCTTCTATGTGCGCATTC